TTATTTCTGTAATCAATAAATCTTCATTTTAATTTTAAAATCCATACATAGTCTGAAGTGTCAGATTTATGTGTGGTTGGTGGCAGCGAAGTACTGTGTGTGAGTGTGTGTGAAGGATCGTGGCCTGTCATCTCTTGTGGTGACGTAGGAGGAGGTGGCAGTCGCGACAACCAGTAATCTGGAAGCCACTGAAAGGGGAGAAAGACTACCCTTCCTCTCACCTTCATAGCAACTAGCCAATAAGACATACAGTAAATCAATCCATTAATCAAACAAATCCCAGCTGGTTTATTTTAAACTAGTTGATAAAAAAAGAAAGGTTACTTACCTGTAACGATGGTTCTTCAAGTGGTCATTCTGTGAATTCACACAATCCCGCCCGGCCTCCCCTCTGTCTGTCTGTCACTGGCATCTCTATGACTCGAGGGCGTATGGCGGACAAATGGAACTGAGGGACGGTTAGGCTGGGCGTGCGCAGTAGGGGTAGTCCTAAACATTGTTACTTTTCTCTTGCAGCTAGAAAACGTTCCGAGAGGCCCAACGCTGGCGCTGGTATTAACCCTTTGTGTGAATTCACAGAATGACCACTTGAAGAACCATCGTTACAGGTAAGTAACCTTTCTTTTACATATTGTTTCAGGTTCTTTCCTCTGTAAAGTCCTTAATTTTAAATATGATTCAATTCAAAAACCCTTTATAAATCAACCTAAAATTATAAGTCATCATCTTGCTCCCATTAGCCCAGTAGTATAATCTGAAACAGAGAAAATAAAATAAAAATAAGGGAAAAAAGAAAGAAAAAAGAAGAGCCAATTGCTTATTGTCTTAGCAGAGATAAAAGTCCAGCTCAAGAAGTGTTCAAGTAGGGTTTCTGCTTCTTAACTATTTTCCCCCTGCTCTGTTTCACCTCAGTTATCTTCCTTCTTCCTGAGCGTTTGGATTACATCCAGTTTTCTCTTTTCTAGTCTCTGGCATCTTCATCTCTCTCAAGAGATCTTGTAGCTGTATTGTTGTTGTTACAGTCTTGGGTCTCTGTCCATGCCAGACAATTAGTTTAAAGATAAATACCCAGGCCTATCTCACTTTTTGGTTCCAAAGTGTTTCTGTGAACATTCCCCATTCTTTACGTTGCTGGATTGTCTCCACAGCCAAATCCTGATAGACTTTTGTCTTTACACTTTGGTATGACAGATCCTCCACTTTGTTTAATGCACAATGTAGAGCCACTTTCGCTGTATAGAAGGCAAACCTGATGATTATGTCTCTCGGTTGTTGTTGTTGTTTATACCCCACGTGATGAACTTGTTTCAAAGTATTCTCTGTAATTTGCGGGTTGGGGCAGAAATCCTCGATCCATTTTAAAACTATACTTTTTAAGTCCTCTGTCATCTCCTCCTCTTTAAAAGATCTTAAACGTAGATTTTATTTATGATCACAATGCTCCTGGTATTGATCTTACCTCTTAATAGTTTTAATTCCTTTTCGACAGTGTTAGTCTTTGTTGGTTTTGCACCAATTCAAAAGCTTCATTAGCAGTCTTTTCTATCTTTTCAGTACTGACTTTCAGCTGTGCTAATGCTTCCTTCAGTGACACTATAACCGTTTTCATGTCTGTTTGTAGGTTTCAGTACTGACTTTCAGCTGTGCTAATGCTTCCTTCAGTGACACTATAACAGTTTTCATGTCTGTTTGTAGGTCTTTCCTTAATTGTTTTAAGAGCTGTTTCATTTTGGTCTGCTCGTTAGCCGATTTCTTTTGCCCTTTCCTCTTTTCATCTTACCGGTTCTTTCACTGCCAGTATCTTCAGACGAAGAATCGGCTTGCTCCTCATCTTCTGAGGAACCATTTGGTTTGTTTTCTTGAGCCATTGCTTTCACTGCCAGTATCTTCAGACGAAGAATCGGCTTGCTCCTCATCTTCTGAGGAACCATTTGGTTTTGTTTTCTTGAGCCATTGCCTTTGATTTCCCCATATCTATATTTATTTATAATTATTCTCCACTAATTGCCAGTTTGCACATTTAATTAGTTTATAATAGGCAGACTTAGAGCGGAACTAGTCTTTCATGCTGCCATCTTCCATGGCAGCAGATCACACCCCCCAACATTTTTTCTTCTCCATCAAGAAGTAGCAGCTTTCACAAATCTGTTCATCACTTGGGGATCTCACCTTCTCAACCCAAAAATCATGACATCTGACAACCACAGGGTACACCTATTAATTTTTGTAACACTTGTCAGAGTGTCACTGATGACATCTTGATACTTTCCATTGTCTAGATAAACTGCGCAATTGAGGTCCATCAGTTGCTCCCTTGATAATTTTATCACCCCACCTGTCCTTATTTTTTTCTATGTTGAAAAAAAGTAAAGCATTCTTTGAATATTACGTTTGTGTTGTATGTATCTATTTTAATTGTACTCAGTATTTTATAGACTGGTTGATCTGTGTGACACCATCTGAGAGGAAAATAACCAAAGATTTTAAAAATTGTTTTTGAAATAATAATTCTGTCTTATACAGGAAAGGGAGATAGCTTTAAGACAACTTCTGACTATGAGAAAAGAAGACTTCATACAGGTTACCTTAATCTTACTGTTTCTTAATTTTAATTTCATACTACATTTTTAATATCTATGTACATTTTGATAGTGAACAAAATGCATTGGTGAATTTCAGATGCCTTTAATTCCCAGTAATCCCCTTGTTACAGGATGTTCCTATGCTGTCAGAGATATTGCTGTGTGTTTGGAAATTAATTCATGAACAATCTTATATTGGCAAAGTTATGAAATTATTATAAAATAGAAAATATTGAGAATAATAATCGAATTATTAACATTGTCATGTGTCTTTTCATGTGAAGTCATAAGGAAGATGTAGACATTGATTGGTGTGAAAGTGTGGCTTCAAGAGCTGTTAGAACTTTACTTCTCCATGGGTTTTATTATGGTATCTGCCCATTAGATGTAATTTTCAGATCGGGAGTGTGTACTTGAAACGCAAGATGCAAGAAATAGCATGTTTATATTGTACGCTTGTGCATATTTTCCTTGCTTTCATGTGACATTGCGAAACAGGATATTGTGGAATCTAAAATTTAATTTAAAGATTTTTATTACCTTTGTTCAGTAAATTGGGTATCTGGTTGTGGTGCCATAGGCTGGGAGTTCAGTTCCCCTCAGTGTATCCCAGAAGACCAGAAGAAGGGAATGATAAACCACTTCTGAGTACTCTCTACCTAGAAAACCCTGAAAAGGGTCATTCTAAATCAGAATTGACTTGATCGTACAATTCTTAGTATTAAAGATATAGTTGAACCACAAGAGCATGATGTTTCAAAGAGCAAGACATTTCCGTAGTTGTTCTTCATGCTACCGTTTAAAATCTTCTTCAGTTTTTTCTTTAGAAATTAATTATGCTTCAACCCAGGCTTGAAATCATTCAAGTAGCTACAAACAATAAAACAGGAGAGATATTTTTGCCTACCTGTATAGCAGAATTAAGATAGTGTATTAAAGATAGTGAATGCTCATCTCTAAAGCCTCCAACTTGCCTTTTCCATGATTACCTTTGTGAGTTTGATGTTAAAATGTAGCGTTTATATTGTTGATAAATATAGCATTTATATTTTGTAAGTTCTAATTTATTCTAAATCCTGTTAGAAAGGGATTTTAATTATCTGCTCCTTTAGATTGGGATTGAGAACACCAGAGATCAACAAAAAATCTTAGATGCTGTTAAAGAACTTCAAGTACATGAAGTAGAGCTGGGAGAATTGCCTAAAGTTGTAAATGTGGAATTCAGGTAAAATACCAGTTTTGAAAGAAACATGGACAAAATACTAATTAGCTGGAATTATTGTGAAAGGATAATCAACAGATGTTGAATCAAGACTTGAAAAGAGGATCCAGTTGTGTAAAATTGAACTAATTATTTCATATTGGACCTCATGTTGGTCCTTATGGAGTGAAAGGATTAACCAATAGGTTCTGTGGCTGCCCTGGGGGCGTGTTAATGCAGTGGTCCTCAACCTTGGGTAGCCCAGGTGTTCTTGGACTGTGACTCCCAGAAACCCCACCCAGCACAACTCGTGGTGAAGGCTTCTGAGAATTGCTGTCCAAGAACACCTGGGTTAACCAAGGTTGGGAAATGCTGCCTTAATGTGTTTACATTCTTTGGGAAGGCTTCTTCTGTGTTCCTATGTTTCAAAATAAGAATGTGTTTCCAACATAGAAATATATATTCATAGAAAGAAATGAGCGTGTAAGTCACTTGCTATATTTAGGTATCTGTATCCTGTGAAGTCACCATAGCTTGAAATTAGAGATACTGCTTTACAAGAGGAGGGCTGCAGATGAGGGTGGAAACTAAGAATGGCCTTTTCTGATTTTCTGGACTACAAATACCATAACTCTTCATTCTGGGAATCTGCCTATTGTTACAGGCACTTCACAAAAATCTCAGTATGATATACCTGGGAGAAAGGCCTACATTAAAAAGCTTTGTGGCTTAGCTAGGCCAAGTTCAACCCAATGTTCCTGTTCCTGCCCCAGTGCTAGCTGGGAGCTTGCTTTCTGAGAAGGAAGCTTGGGCAGAGCTCAGCCTGGCTGAGCCTCAAAGTCTTCCAATGCAAGCCTTTCTCCTAGGTCAGTGGTTCTTAACCTTTTCTTTATCATGGGCCCCCTTTAAATATCTTTCGTTGCCACGGACCACCAAGACTTAACTCAAGATTTAAAACCCTGAAGTGCATCAAATATTTAAATATGATCATCTTGATTTAATCCCATTTATTTCAATAGATTTCCCTCCCCACAAGTTTGATTTTGTTAATTTGCTATCAGTTATTCTGTGTTTCCTTTACTTTCTTGGTTTTTATTCATTCTATTTTAACTTCAAAAGATCATAACATTTCTTCAAGCCTTCGTGGGGGCCCCTATGAGGACACTGACACCCTGAGGGTGAGCAGGCCACAGATTAAGAATGTGTGTCCTAGGTGTATCACATCCATGTATCTATAAGGTGCCTGCAAGGTATGCAGGACTCCCAAGAATGAAGAATTATGGCATTTGTAGTCCAGAAAATCCAAAAATACCATTCCTAGTGGGAATATCTTATCATAAAAAATAAAAACCTTTGAAGAATCCTCCACAAAAAGCACGTCAGTTAGTCCTCAGTTTCTTCCACTTTTTTGTCTCCTTGTTTTGTAAATACCTATCTCGGGGCACAGTTCTAACTAACAAAGATGACTAAGATTGTGCTAAATCCAAATTCCTTTCAGCCCAATGATGTTGGAAATCACTTAGGACTGCTCTGGCCTTGTTTTGTGCTGGCATGGAACTGTGAATCTGAGTTGAGAGCAGATTGTATGTGGCGTAATCTCTTTTTTCACCACCACCATCCCTTTTCTTCTTGTGGTTCTTCTGCTGGCTGATCTCAGACAGCATAGCAGTTGTGCTTGCAGATCTGAGATCAGTCAGGATAAAAACAGCTGTGCCAGGAAGGAGGCTTTTGCTTGTTCCAAACTTCTTGCAGATGGTTTATCTTTGAATCTGGATTGCATTGCCTGTCTTTCAAAAATTGCTACGACTAGCACATAGTATTGACCAAAATTGAGGTATACTTTCCCCACATGGACCTAAAGTGAGCCAGTGCTAATAATGCATAGTATTTAATATGTGTGCAGAAAATGAGTCAGACATCCTGATTCTGATGTTATGAAACAGTGTAACAGGATGATGCTTACTTTGGCATGTAAGGGAATTGAGTGCTCAGAAGGGAATTGAGCATTTTTTTTTCTATAATGGATTGCTGCTGTCAAAGGAACAAAATCAGAAACCAGTTTTCCATTTCATTGAATCCTGTCTGGTAGTGTTTGTAGAATGTTTTGCACGTAGTTACTTCTCATATTAAAGCAAACATGCAATTTGCATTCCTGGTTGTCTTTGCTGCTGTTTGGAAAAGTTAATACATTTTTAGGATGCAGCTATTTTTGTTTAACTGTCTGTAATTGTCTCTTTATTTTATTGTAGCGGGGAGGAGTTTTTTTCTTTTCTTGTGAAATTAAACAGGCAGTGCATTCACCTTACAAGTGCTGTACAGAGTGTGGTCGATCAGTTCCCTACAGATGCTCACAAGGTATTCATGTAAAAAGTACTTCAGAGTACCAAAATTGGTCCAATGTAACTTTCTGAAATAACACTTTAGGGTTAAAGCCTAATTTGTGCCCCATTTTAAGTATAGCTAAATATGAATTGTTTCTTTTTTTAAAAAAAATATTTTATTTTCCCAACATAAAACTTACAAATATACAAAAATAACATCTTTTATATATAGATGTACAGTGGTGCCTCGCTTAGCGATCGCTCCGTTGAGCGATGAAATCGCTTAGCGATGGCCCCTATGGGGAAAAATCGCTTTGCGATGATCGCTTCCCCGCGATCATCGCAAAGCCCCCATTTTTGGCCAGCTGATTGGTGGTTCCAAAATGGCCGCAGGAAAAACAAAATGGCTGGCCGCTGTTTTGCCTCACTTTAGAGGCACCAAAAATGGCTGCCTCTATGGAGGATCTTCTCATAAGGTCAGTTTTTAAGCCCATAGGAACGCATTAAACACATTTTTATGCGTTTCTATGGGCTTTTTTATTCCGTTTAGCGATGAAATCGCTTAGCAACGTTTTTCCTGGAACGGATTAACGTCGCTAAGCGAGGCACCACTGTATGTGTATATGCATATGCATATATCTATATCTAAAAACGATACATATTGTAAAGCTTAGCCTGCAAGAATTTTTTATAGTAATACATTTCTTTTGACAAGATCTTCTCCATATTATTCATTTTACTCATTTACTTTCTATTTGTTACAAATCTTTTATTTTCCACCATTCATAGAATAGGTTCCAGCTTTCATAATAAATTGATTTTTCTTGTCCTTTTTATCTCTTTGTTAATCTGTCCATTTGTGCACATTCTATTTTTTTTTATAACTCATCCTTTAGCGGGTCTCCCTTTTTCCATACCTGTGCCCATGCTAATCTAGCTGCTGTCAGAACATGTTATATTATATAATAGCTTGTTCCTATTGTAAGATACAGCAGATCAGTGAAAAGTTAAATATAAGGCCGTACATGCATTCAAGTTCTAAGGGCTCACATATACTAGATTGCTTATGTATTAAACAGCCCTTGTGATAGTTTGCTGTTGGAAGAGGAGATATTTCCTGAGAGCAGGCCAAGAGAAAATGTATGTTTTGTGTAAATCACCAAAAGTTAGTAAAAATAAGCAGAATGTGTAAAAGTTGTTACAATGACTTACGGAATCTGCATAGCAGATAAATGGTTTTGTATTTCTTTTTAGTTGGTACTTGAATGGAATTCCCCTCAGAGCCTTGCAAAAGTTTGTGAAGACCTTGTTTCCAATGCTGAAGATCTGAATAGAGAAGCTACCAAATTAATAAAGCTCATGCAACAGGTATATATGAAGTAAAAAAATACAATGTATATAAAATCATTACCAAATATTGGACAGGGTTCCTCTAATGTGCAGGCTGATAAATGATAACATTATCATTAAAATACTTTTAATTGCTGTTTACATGTTTGGTGATCCTAATGATCTAGATCAGAAGACAGTATGAAGCCCATCCATCTATTTTTTTTGCCTCTCTTAAGATCCTCTAGAAAAATAAAAAACAAAGTGGCATAGAAAATAATGACATGATTTTCCTGTGATTTAATGGCAGGTTTCCTGATCAGTTTGTAAACAAGATTCAGTGTTTTAAAACTTAAAAGTTGGTTTTAGAGAGTTTTTTTTTTCAAATTTTCTTCATGAAATACAAAACTGATAAATCACATTAATTGCTCAAGGAAGTCTGCAGTTTCCCACTGTACCTCTTTAACTGAAACTTTTTTCTTCCCCATTTGGTATTCTGCTTGTTTCTTCTCTTCTAGTTTCATGATAGGTCCATTTCCGCATCAGAGAATCAGAGAACTAGGATTGGTGCTTTTGCAGCTGTGGCTGGCCCTAAATGAATAAATAAAATAAAACATTGTTTATTTATATTATTTATTAGATACAAAAATTAGTGTCTTTGGCCATACACACTCCAGGGTGTAGCTTTTGAGTTGTTGGCCAACCTAAAATATGTTCTTTAGGCCTACTGGTGTTGCTCACCTCAGTCTTGGAAAAGAGGGATGAGTGGAAATAACAGGAAATGTTTTCTTTATTGTGCTTACTCTGAGATACATCCTGAGATCTGAAAGCCGTGTAGATCTTCCATGGACTAAATTGCCAGAGTATCACATAGTAAAGTCCATTCTTTTTCAGTTCACATACTGCTTGTATTACTCACAATAAACCATGTTGCAGGTTGATGCAGTCACTATTTCAACTGTGCTTTCCTTTTTAAAAAGATCCATGTCAGATGTTATAATTTGTTAGTATTTTGTACTGTGCTAAAGACAGCTAATGATTTTGTTCCTTCTTCCATAAATGTTGCTAGCTACATGATGGACAGAAGAAAGATCCTTGCCGAATACAACCTTTGGTCAAGGAAGCCAAATGGAAAAAGACTTTTTTAAGAATGGCAGCAATAACCTTTTTAGGCTCTGGGTGTGTCTTTTTTATCAGTAACTTAACTTCAAGGAAGGACTAAATCATATGTTGAATAGATAAGTATCAGGCACAGATATGATAGGCCAACTTGTATTTAATAACTGGTAGTAACATGTTTTTGGTTGAGGAGTTCAAATGTTATAAAACTACTTTAATTTCTATTCTGTATTAAAATTAGACCTGTGGCATATGTCCATTTTCTTTGACTTTTTGGCAAAATGTATCCACACATAACTTGTTAATGTTTAATTTGTATGACAAATAAATCTTGTCATACATTTGCTTTAGAATTCATTTTTATGAACAATAAATCTTGTCTTACATTTCCTTATTAGAATCCATATATGTCTATATTTCTGTTCTTTGTGTAAGAGTGTTCGTAATACATGCTGAAAATATAATTCCAACATCTTTAACCATGGCATAGAATTTATTAGTATTTCCTCCACAGATTATCTCTGTGAAAGAAATAGTCTTGTACAACACTTGAGAGTGTGTTGAATCAAACCTGACATAACTGAATTATAAAAGCCTTTATAATTGAGGATAAAGTCCAAGAGCTGAATTGTATAAAGAGACATGCTGTGAAGAATAATGGGATAGCTTGCTGTAATTCCTACATACCATTGTCACAGTCTGTTATTGCATTGAATTTTACAACCATTCTGTTCCAAGTTAGTCTCTTGACAAATGGAAATCTGGTGATACCTGTTCCCTTGCTATTTTGAGTGTTCCAAGTACTAGTAAGAACAAAGAAAGAAGCATCCCTGCTTGAGCTTTAGTGCAGATTGGGCTTGAGGGAGAAGGGAAGTGAACTGGTGGTGTTGAGTGTGACAAGGGCTACAGTACCACTGAGGACACATTCCTCAAAGGCCTCCCAAAATTTGGAGTGCAAACTACTTACTTTAACTTTTTTCTTGACCATTGATACTACAGCTTCTGATGTGAGAGATGAAGCATACAGTAGTTACATCACAGGCAGTGGCCCAGAAAAGCAGAAATTTTATTTGGGCTCATGAGACTTAAATCATGTTTTACATTTCCCTCACCTATAAAAGCAAGTGTAAAACCTACATTGGCTGGAATGTACAGTTCATTTAAAATTAGCTCTCCTTTGCTCAATTGCCACACATATGCAAAGATAATTCAGGAAGTTCACAGGTGCTTTTGAGGTCAATTCATAAAAATGTTCTCAACATGTTATAAAAACAGCATTAAAATGCATAGGAAGTGTGACAGTCATTTGAGGAATGGGCAAGCTGGAAAGTCTACTGAAGTCCTTTCTCTGTCCATAGTTAAGGATGGTCTGTGTATCTGTAGTCAAATGGACTATTCAGTGTGTTTGTATTTGTATGCAGGCATATATACCTACAGACCTGCAGGTATATATATTCTTTTTTCAATTTGTATCCACGCATTGGACAGTTCAGAATAATGGACACTCAAATATGGCCAAAATAAAAAACCAGTTAAAATGTCAAATCAGAATACAGTGGTGCCTCGCACAACGAGTGCCTCACACGATGAATTCACACAACGATGCCTTTTTCTGTTAAATTTGCTGCCTCACACAGCGATGTTTCCTATGGGGGATTTTCACACAACGATCTCCCTTTTCGCTCCTGTAAAAGTGTCTTACAATGTTTGGACGCTGTTTTAAATGATTGCAATGGTTAGTCCACCTCCTGAAACCTATGCAAACTGATTTTGGTGTTGTTCTGACACTTCGTTAATTTATGATGATTTTTTGTTTTTTCCATTGGAAACCATTAGACAGACCATCCAATGGTTTCCAATGGAGAAAATTCAAAAAATCATCATAAATTAACGAAGTGTCAGAACAACACCAAAATCAGTTTGCATAGGTTTCAGGAGGTGGACTAACCATTGCAATCATTTAAAACAGCGTCCAAACATTGTAAGACGCTTTTACAGGAGCGAAAAAGGACTTTGCAAAGGCATTGAAATGTATTGAGTCGGCTTCAATACATTCCAATATAGGAAACATTGTTTCACTCAACGATGTTTCCTATGGGGATTTTCACTGAACGATGGCAATCTGTTCCAATTGGAACGGATTAACCGGTTTTCAATGCATTCCTATGTGAAATGGTGTTTCACAGAACGATGTTTCACACAACGTTGATTTTTTTGGAACCAATTAACATCGTTGTGTGAGGCACCACTGTATTTCCGATGGGTCTTACACAATCTCCTTGGTTTTTGCTTTGCTTTCTTTGCATTTCCGATGGGTCTTGCACAAACTGCTTGCTTTTTGCTTTGCTTGCTTTGCATTTCTGATGGGTCTTACACAATCTGCTTGCTTTTTGCTTTGCTTTCTTTGCATTTCCGATAGGCCTTGCAGGCTTCGCTTCCTTTCCCCCCTCCCTTCAGATGGAAGGAATTAATCGCGTTTCCGATGGGTCTTGCAGTAATTTTGGGGGTGTGTGTGATTCTTTTCTTCGGCCAAAACGGATTAATTGCATTTCAGTGCATTCCTATGGGAAATGGTGCTTCGACTTAAAACCATTTTGGGTTACGACCAGAGTTCTGGAACCAATTAAGTTCGTAAGTCGAGGCATCACTGCATTTATTTGTTAGTATTAAGTTCTTCAATACCCACGATTCATAAAGCTGGGAAATAGCCCATTGTTGGAAAATATCATGCTGCCAGCTGGAGCAAGGATGCTAAACTTTACATAGCAAAGGGTAGGATCAATGTTAACACCAATGGCAGCAGTGAAGATGGTCTCTACAGGATACCCTCTTCTCCTCACTACCATTCACACTTGTTGAAAAACAGCCTTGACAATTGCTTTGTGTTTGGGTGAGTATTAGTGAAATTATGAAAAAAGGAGTCTGTTTCTGGGATTTTCCCTTTTGTGGTGTCACTTTGTTAATGGTAGCAGCACTAGGGGCAATTCATGCTCACCACATTTACCATTAGCCTGTGGAGTGTCTCAGGGTTCCATGCTTCCTCATATTATTTCACATGTACATGGAAAACCTGGAAGGCTGTCCAGAATTTTATGGTCTGGTACCATCAGTGTACTGATGACACCCCAACTCCAACTTGTTTTTCAAGATCTTCCAGAAGGCCCTTCTGTCAGCCCCCACCCAGGAATTCCTCAGTGATTAGTCACATGAGTGGAATAAATCTCTTGGGCAGTATGATCCAAGGTAAGGCAGACATACATGGCAGTGCTACTCTGGTGTTCTTCCTTACAAAACATTTTGGGGCTCAGGGTTTGTTGCTGACCTGGTGAGTCATAGCCTTAGGCAAAATGTCACATCTAGGATACTGAACTACCCTGCTATCAAAATACAGAGAATATTTTTTTCCTGCCGTTGCTGCGAGGTCTAATGCACAGTTCCATGTGCCACGTCAAATGAGTCACTTGTTGAAAGGTATTGGGAGGGCAACTACATTGTTTTGCTTGACTCAGATGATCTATTGTGGTTTAAGGCAGGGATGGATACCCTTTTTTGGTTCTAAAGTTCACATGCAATACAGGAGTGAGTTGGAGTCAAACATACCCTCTGTCCCCAACTTGTGCATTTCAATATCAAATTGAAGGGAAGGAGAAAAGATGAAAGCATTCCCCCTTCTACCTTCTAGCCCTCCACCTGCTCACTCTGCTACCTATTTCTTGGACTAATCAATTAAGCATTGCTGCTCCAGGAACAAAAAAACAAATCTGAAAATCAACAGGACAAACCGAAATACCATAGATACGAAGATTCTTCAGAACTCATTAGGTGAGGGAATACAAAAAAGGTGCGGGGGATGAGGGAAGAAACATACATAAAATGAAGCCTGACATTGTGGCCATAAAATCTGCAGTTTAGACCTTATCCGGCTCAAGGTTGACTCAGCCTTCTATCCTTCCGAGGTCGGTAAAATGAGTACCCAGCTCGCTGGGGGGGCAATGTGTAGCCTGCATAATTGTAAACCGCCCAGAGAGTGCTTGAAGCGCTATGGGGCGGTATATAAGCAGCACGCTTTGCTTTTGCTTTTAAAAATGAAGATGTGTAGACTGAGTGAATTAATTACTGATAGGTGCTGCAGGCAGCAGTGCTTTTTCAGACAGAAGCAATGGTGCTTTTCCAGTTCTACAAGCAAAAGGCATTGAGCATATTGGCCAGAAGCTTTATTCACTTGAGGTAAGGTAAAAATTCCCCAAATGTTTTAAATCTCTGCCAGAAGCATTGTCTGTGTAATGATGGCCAAGTGGAAACTGCAGGTCATGTTTTACTGTACTGTCTTTTCTATAGAGATCTACACACCAACATCCTGAGCCCAATCATTCTCAGATATTCAGGGAAACCTCATGAATTTTACATCAAGCTACTTCTTTCCGATCAAGACTCCCTTACTACACGCTCTGCAGCAAACTTTTGTGCAGCAGCAACGGCACAGCACTCCCTTATAGTCTCCTGAGTTCACAGATTGACTGGTTTTAAGCATGAGGGTGGTTTATTGTCTAGTGTAGGGAAATGTTGTGGTCCCAACCGAGGGAAGAAATATTTACAGATCTTTACAAATATGACCACTGGGGTAGTCAGGTACAATATAAACCAAATCCCTTTTGAATACACAGTGGAAGTGAAGAACAGATTTAAGGAACTAGATTTGGTGGAGAGAGTGCCTGAAGAACTATGGGTGCTCATAACATTGTACAGGAGCCAGCAACAAAAGCCATCTCAAAGAAAAGGAAAGGCAAGAAAGCAAAGTGTTCAATGAGGCCTTACAAATAGCAGAGAAGGGAAACAAAATGCAAGGGAGATAGGGAAAGTTACAGAATATTGAATGCAGATTTCCAAAGAATAGCAAGGAGAGACAAGAGGGCCTTCTCAAATGAACAGTGCAAAGGATAGCTATAAAAATGCTGTATTTGATTCTCCCCATATTTTACAACCAGTACACAATTACTTGTACACTTTTTAAATTGCATTTTGTACATTTTAACCACATAAATTGTTGTATGAACTGACTACATTTCTAAACTGCATTTTGTATATTTTAACCACATAATGGTTTATGAATTGGTTGTAGTTTTTAAACTGCATTTTGTATATTTTAGCCATAAATATGTTTTATGAGATGGTCACCCAACCATAATAAATAAATTCATTCTGCCAGAAACATCTAGGTTTGTAATTATAGTAAAGCAGCTAATGGCTGAGCTACAGGCTCAGTCCATACTTATTTACTGACGACATGGAACCCATGCCTAAAATTTCCCATTCTGAAATGCAGCTATGAATACCTTGTTGCTTTTTTTGTCTATGTTGTGTTTATAAAGTTACATGAGTGTCCGTATGGAAAGCTGAAGGGACTGCATGATAATCTTTTTTTATTTTTTGAAAGCCCATTAGTCCTTCCTCAATTTAACACCTTTAAGGGCACCATGCCTAGGGTTTCTCTTCCTAATACTTCCTGGGCATTACTGTAGACTTAGCAGAATATTTCTTGGGCACTACAGTAGTACACAGCAGCGCTATTAGCTAATGCAAGTGTAACAATATCGATCCATTGCTCTAGGTCCATATATTCATAATGACTCATACCACTGGGTCTTACATGGAATCAATATGGTTCATTAGCAGTTGCTCGTTGATTTTGGAGTCTAATAGTGCTTTAAACTGTAAAATACTGGACCTCTACACATGACTGAAATATGCCTTCCCTGCTACAGGTGTTCTAATTCAGTAAAGGACCTGTAGCATACTTATATATCCCCACATGACAGAAGCAGATAGGGTTGCTGAATTTAGACACAGACAGTGTGAATAAAGACATACAAAACTGAATTGCTGCTATACACAAAAAGTTTATTTTTTAGGTTTTTTTTCCTTTTTTTATTGAAAGCAAAATAGAATAGAACCAAACATCCATGTATTTTGTACGACAAAAAAATTAAATGATAACAGACAATCCATGAAGAGCGTAGAACGGCTTCCCTTTTTAAAAAAACCATGCTTTCTGGCTGTCAACAGTAAGTTGGCACAGAAAATGTCACTGCATTCATTCTGGACCCTTTTCCTTCAAATCCTTGTCAGCTGATGCCAGAGGCTGGAGGGCAGGATGCTTTCCACCTTTTCCATCACAAAGTTCAGGGGGGCAAAGAGAGTACTAAGAAACTGTAAAGCAGAAAATAATTATATCAGTCAAACAGGTAACAGGTATCGCATGAAAAATTTGCACACTGCCTCTTTGCCATAAGGAGTGTATGCACCTATGTTCACTTGGACATAGGAACATGGTTTTTAAAAAGAACAAACCTTTCCTCCAGTTACAGCTTAAGCTGCAAAGCAACATTTACACCAATCATGATGGTCATGTATATTCTTCCTGATACATATTGAAGGGAAAGCTAGGAGCCAAAAACCCCTTATGTTGTGCAGTCATATGTATTCAAATGGACCTGAATAAACTCCTGAAGGATTTTGGGATAGCTTTTCTATTCTTCACTGCCCTCCTGTTCTTGATATTATATACTGCTATATTCTTGTTTTGAAATTCATTATTTGGAACTTGTTTGATTTCAGTTGCATTTTTTCTCACTATTCCAAAGTTCTGTGAAGATTCTCAGTCATCCAGGTGAGGTTATCTGGGAGCTGAGTCATGGCAACTGAACTTCTTTCTTATTAGGTTGAAGTGTTTCACTACTCATCCAAGTAGCTTCTTCAGTCTGAGGACAGTTGGTAGGAGACCCTTGATATATTGGTTTCACTTTCACCTGGTCATTAGGAGAGGACTGGGGGTGAGGGAAAATCCCACTTCTACAGTCCTCCACCCATTGTCATGGGTCGTTAATAGTTGTTAGCAGTGGTCTTTATGATGTGTGTGCTCCTAATCTTTCTGGGGATGGATAAAAGGGCAGCATAATAAATAGGAAACTGATTGTATCTAATGCCTCCACCCCTGTTTCTGAGTATGCAATGCGAAACATTATACAAGAATCTGTGAAGATTCTCAATTGTCCAGGTGAGGTTATCTGGAAGTTGAGTCATGGCAACTGGACTTCTTTCTTATTAGGTTGAAATGTTCCGTTACTCATCCAAGTAGCTTCATAAGTCTGAGGAGAGTTGGTGGGAGATCCCTGATATATCCTCCACATTGGTTTCACTTCCCCCTGGTCTGAATAGGCTTGTTAGAAGGACAAAGGACTGGAGGTGAAGGATAATCCTAATCTTTCTGGGCACAGATGAAAGGGCAGCATGAAAAACAGAAGACTAGGATTGTATCTAAGGCCTCAACCCCTGTTGAGTGAGGGATTTTCTATATGCACATGTATGGCCTCCCTGACCCCTCTCTCAAACCACCTATCTTCTTCAATAAGAATGAGCAGATCTTGGTCATCATCAAATGAGTATTCTTCAAATAAAGAACATTGTTGATTGTGGTCCTGAGCTGTTGCCCTTCCTGTGCTGGGCAATTATCTAGTGGCTGTTTGGTTTCTCCAATGTAAAGCTCCAAACACTCCTCTTTGCATTGGACTGCATATACTATATTGCTCCTGTTGTGTTTTAGTGTCTGGTCTTATTTATTTATTTATTTATTTATTTATTTATTTATTTATTGGACTTATATACCGCCCCATAGCGCTACAAGCACTCTCCGGGCGGTTTGCAAGGCTACACATTGCCCCCCCAGCAAGCTGGGTACTCATTTTACCGACCTCGGAAGGATGGAAGGCTGAGTCAACCTTGAGCCGGCTACCTGGGATTTGAACCCCAGGTCGTGAGCACAGTTTTAGCTGCAGTACAGCGTTTTAACCACTGCGCCACGAGGCTCATATTGGGGTGGATGAGTCTCTTTAGCGTGTTTGTGGGTTTGAAATGCACTGGCTGCCTTTGTCCTTTGTGAGACCTACAGGACAATGTAGCCATTAAAGTTCTAGCCATCCTTTAGTGCGGATAGATCAAGGTGCTTAACGTTGTCTTCTGATTATTGTAAGAGACATCTCTTGCTTACTTGTTCTCAGTATTAAGGCGGATGGATCAAAAATGTCATTTTGCGACTTAATTACTTGCAATTAGGCCAAGTAATAAAAACAAAGTAAAAAAGCATTCTGCTTATATACCACCCCATAGCACTTAAAGCACTCGCTGGGCCATTTGCAAATTAACTATGCAGGCTATACATTGCCCCTCCCCCCAGCAATCTGGGTACTCAGTTTACCAACCTCGGAAGGATTTCAGGCTGAGTCTACCTTGATCCGGCTACCTGGGATTAAACCCCAGGCCATGAGCACAGTTTTGGCTGCTGTACAGCAGTTAAACCACTACGCCATGAGGCTCCTTAATAAAATAAAATGCTGCAGAAACCAAAACTGTTTCAAATTGCTGTTCAAATGAGTGGTTAAACTAAAGAGAACCCAGCCTAGTAGAAAGTAATATTTTAGAGGGGGGGAAAGGAATGTCACAAAGATTTAAAAATAATTATTATAAGATCACTGGTAAATTGATAAGCAAAATTTGTAAAAATGGCTGATGTCAAAAATGTTGATTTCCTACTTCCCATTCCCATTCCACAAATAAACATATGCAGTCCAAGCCAGTGTGTGTCATAACCAGGATAAAGTCAGGTACTGTACCACCTATGATGTACACACAGAGAAAAAGTGATACTCTTTCTCTCCTGACCTCCTGTACACCATTACATAGGAACTCTGTAGGTACAAATTACTTCTTGCTTTTGATACAATTTATTTCAATTCTAGATGCTGCTGTACCACATCCAAATCTCCTGCAATTTAGCACTTTTGTGTGCTCTCCACAAAGGGGGAGGAGTCCCTTCTGCAGCCAATACAGAAGCTAAAGAGAAGGGATCAGGGTGAAAGAGGAGAGGCTCGGAGGACCAGATGAGAAGCTCCAAGGGCCACAGGCTCCCTGTTTCTGTAATATGTGATCTAAGCAGTGGTCCCCAACCTTTCTGATACCACGGACTGGTTGGAAAGGATGGGTCAGTGTGCGGGGGGCATCCCCCACGCTCATGCGCAAAGGGGCAGCACTCACTCATGCGGACACGTGCACAAAGGGTGCTTGTGGGGCATGCACATACACTTGTGTGCATGCACAAAGGGGCTGTGCAGGTGGGCTTGCGCGGAGGGAGTATGTGCGGGGGGGGCAGAAGATTTGTCTCTGTGACCCAGTTCAGCCAAGGCCATGGACCAGGGGTTGGGGACCCCTGATGTATGCTATTCTGCATTTTGGGTTACAAGCACATTCTCAGAATGGCTCATTTTTTGTAATACAGTGGTGCCTCGCTTAACGATTGCCTCGTTTAGCGATGAATTCGCATAACGATGTTTTTAGAAAATAATATGCACCGCATAACGATGTTTCCTATGGGCGATTTTCGCTTAGCGAAGTTTGGGACCATGCTTCGCATAACGAATGCGATTTTAGGTCCCCTGCTTCACTTAACGATGTTTCTTTTTTCAATTAAAAAAGTGTCTTAGAAGGGTCAAAAACGGTTCTAAATGCTTGGATTCGTTAGAGGACCCCTTAAGTCATGTGCAAACCTGATTTGGCTTTGATCTGACTTTTCGTTAATTTTTTGTGAATTTTTTTTTTGGCCCATAGGAACCAATGGACCTGTCAAAATCTGACAGCTCCATGCTTTCCTATGGGGGAGAAAACAATTCACCATAGATTAACGAAAGTTCAGATCAAAGCCAAATCAGGTTTGCACATGGCTTAGGGGGTCCTCTAACGAACCCAAGCATTTAGAACAGTTGCTGAGTCTTCGCTAATTTTTTGTGAATTTTTTCTTCCCCCATAGGAAATAATGGAGCTGTCAGATTTTAACAGCTGTGAAAGGTTGGGGGGGGGGGATTCAGAAAAAATTAATGAAAAGTCAGATCAAAGCCAAATTAACTTTTGCATCTGTTTTAGAGGGTGCAGAAGCTAATCCAAGCATTTAAAACCATTTTTGCCCCTTGTATGACACATTTAAAATTGCAAAAATTGACTTCGCAAAGCCATTGAAATGTATTGAGTCAGCTTCAATACATTCCAATGGAGGATACATTGTTTCGCTTAGCGATGTTTCCTATGGGTTTTTTCGCTTAACAACGGCAATCCGTTCCAATTGGAACGGATTAACCGGTTTCCAATGCATTCCTATTGGACATGGTGTTTCGCATAGCGATGGTTTCACATAGTGATGTTTTTTTTGGAACCAATTAACATCGCTATGCGAGGCACCACTGTATACTGAAAAGGGGGTATCTATATCAAACAATTTCACTTTTAAATCCATTTTAACAGAAGAAAATGATGGCATAGTGGCATAATACAACTATTCTCCTATAAGGGGGAAAATTTGGAAACTCACTTTAAAAAAAACATCTGGCATTCTCTATTGTGTGGGATAATTTTGTAAAAAATCTGCAATTCTAATCTGTGTATCCCAGTAACATTAAAAAAGAAATTCTAAAACATAGAGCAATACTATGTCTACATGATGAATAATCCATCGAGTCTGAGAGTTGCATGAGTAAGTCTATCTAGCCTTTTGTGGCTGCTATGAAAGTTTGATCCAAAGACTTCCTGGCTTATTCATATTCTCAGGCACTACATAGTTACATTTTTTACCATTTCTTTACCATGGTCCTGCCTGTAATGCTAGGACAACAATTAAAGCCAAGAGAGCAGTACAGCCTGTTTTCCTGTGTAGACATGTCAAATATATTATTAAGTAGTGAGAAGACCCTCTGAAATACCTTCTATGCTACAATTACGGTCATGACACACTGAGACCCTCCCCTAAAGCAGTGTTCTTGTTCAATCCTTACCACCCACCACAGCCTTTGTTTGCTATAGGGGAAACTACTCACTGCTTTTGCGAAGACTCCCATCAGCTCTGGGAACTGATGTGTGAGGAGGGCTAGCATAGCTGTGAAGGAACATAAACCAGCAGTGAAGAGAATAAAGAAAGGAAGCTCTTTCTTGGGGTAAACTGAGACTTCATGAAATGCTGCAAGAAAAATATAACAGAACTAGATGAGCAATATTAAGAGCTTTTCTAAAAAGATGGTCATCTAAAGGTTCCCTATAAGAACAAACATGTGCTTAATTCCACTTGCTTCTTTTTATCAAATGCAAAAAAATCTCCTTCACCCCCATATAGGTACTTCTGTCCTGTACTATCATGTTTACAGACAAGGCTAAAATAATATAAATAGCATTTTTAAGCCCATCAAAGTATTCTGAATGGCCTCTTATTCAAACAAGTAAAAAAAAAAGTCCCTGAAGAATTTACTGTCCAAAGTGTCTTCTTCAATTAATGAAAAGAATTAATGAAAAATAACTTATCTACTATTATTATTGTAGCATTTATATGTTGCTTTTCTTCCACTCACATCTGGCCCTCAAAACGCCTTGTCTGGAATCAATCCAAATAAATAAATTTGAAATAAATATAACTGAACAGTATACCTAGAATCTCCCCCCACACACACACCGTGAACATTCTGGCAAGATTCCAAGAGTGATTAACAGGATAACTGGAATTTGGCAGTGATGTCAAGTGAGAAGGGACACACTTGCCTTCAGCTTTGCCACTTGACAGGGAATAAGCTATTATAGTATTTGTCTTTAACATTCAATTATTTCTTTCAGTTTCTCTGATATTCATCCCTTCTTGTGCTGCTACGGTAACCTGGGGGTTAAAATGCATTGATCCCTTTGTCCAGTGGGGTTATCCTTAGGGTGGACATGCAAAAAAAATCATTTCCAGATTTTCTCTAAATTTGGAGAACGCCATGCCAGACAAATGACAAGACTGCCAAAAAAAAAAAAAATATTTCACAGCAGGGACACTTAATTGTGTCCCATTAAAGATCAATGGTTTGTTTTTACTAGGATATTAAAGAATAGGAAGATCTGCACTTACATGGAAGAAGTTCTCTGTCTGCTGTCTCTGTGCAAATGGGGTAAGGGTAGAAAAGGTGCCCCTTTTCCAAAGGATAAGGGATCATTCTGAAAGCTAAAAAGAGGAGAAACACTTCAGAAATTGCTGATCTTGTAACTGTAACATGTGAAGCACTTTCTGTACATCAGCATTTAATTACTAAGGCTGGAAAAGCAAAATGTGATTTTATGACAGTTCAGGATGTTAAATAGCACAATAAATATCTGGAGTTAAACAGCACATCAAATTTACTGTTGGTGTAGAGTCCCAAGACACTGAATATGTAACAAATAACTATATAAATGCTTCCAGTTGCTAGGATAGTCATGCATGGCCTGACACAACTCCTCATTTGATAAATGTCAAATTAAGGTCCCTGCTATCTGAATTCATTGTTCACATGTTCCCTTTTATCTGGTGCCCCAAATCCTGTTGCTTAATGTCATAAATTGTACTTCAATCAGCCCATGAAATCAATGAGTCATGTCTTCTACAAGTTCAATTTATTCAAATGGGCCTACTCTAACGGTGATTTACTATGTTAAAGGAAGTTGCAATTAAGCCCATTTGAATCAATGGAACTTACAGACAAGTTGACTCATCAAATCACCAGTGATTCAAGTGGCCTACTCTACTGCACATTACTATACTAAGCAACAAGATTTTTGCCAATAATTCTCAACCAGTAGAGCATACGTCTTCCCACATGGGCACATCAGGAGTCCAGGGCATACATATATAGATCATTCAATATTACCACATAATTTTTATCTATTGGTAATTTGAAAAAATGGTACTAAAGCTTTTTCCAATTGCTTTTTTAATGCACAACTTTCTGCATTATTTTATGATGTCTAGTAGTCTATCTAATAGTTTTATTTCTCTGTTGTTTCTGAGTTATACTAGGCACTTCCTTAGATGGGAGCCTATTACCCCTGCTGTCTCTGTTGCTGTTTTCTCCACAGGAGAGAGAGTTTTTGCAGAGGAGAGGTTCCTACTTATGTGTGGGACCTCCAAGTGAGCAACACCCCAGGAAAACCAGGGTTCTTGCATGTAGGGACAGCATACATGTGAACAGATGCCTCTGTCCTGCAGACATGTCACTGTGCATGTGCAGAATGTGATTATGGAAAAAAACAGGGGATAGATGTTCTCCTCAAAGCATACTAGAGAGAACTGGGCATGGAACAACTTAATAGGGCCAATGTACTGTAGGGTTCATTGTGTGTGGATGGAGCTACTATGTACCCCTGTAAAGATTCCCTCTTCATCTATATCTCCTATATTCAAAGATACCATGATTTGTTTCTGTTATTTACTGAGGGAGCAGGTTTGAAAGATTAGGATCAGCTTTAGAGTTGTGCTGAGAAAAAGAACTCTGACAACCTTAGAAATGGTAATATAGAGAAGCCAATTTCAGAACAACTTCCCAGGACACATTATTATTTACAGATCTTAGAGTAACTCTCATGGTAAAAAAAGAATTACAGAGGATGATGGGGTGGAGGATTTTGAAGAGGGCTGTGTTCACACAGTCCAAAGAAGACCAAAAGGATTAAATAAAGTCTAAGGATTCACACAGTGACTGAAATCCTGTTGTGCAGCTCTGCTTGACTAACAGGAATGATGTCACCAGCAGTTCCAAATCTATAACTGCTGGTATTAAAGACCTCCTTTGTCACATTGTGTATGAGTCAGTGTAACCTGGAATCACTAAAGTAAACCTTCAATCAATGGTGATTTGCTGCTGCTGCTAATGTCATTCCAGTTGCATAGATGGAGCTGTGCAATAGGATTTCAGCTTATAGATGTCAACATTCTGGATTTGTCCACAATCTTGAGACAGCCAGAATTAAAAAGATGTTTTCCCTTACACTGTTCTCAGTCAAGAATGTTGAAGGCCCGGGCTGTTGATGCTCTTTGCTCAACACATCCTTCTAGGAATGGAATTCTGGAAGAACTGTCTTAGTTAAAATATTTTAGGCATTGCCTGCCACTCTCAGAACTTTTGTTGCTATAAATATTTTAAATTTTAAAAATGGAACAAATGTGTGTTTAGTTGTTTCCCCCTAATTATTGAACTGGAAGTATATGAAAATACATACTGCTTCACGCTAATACAGTACAGCATTCATATGGGTTTCCAACAAGTGCTGCAATACAATATCCAGATTTTAGAGGCTTATTCTTGCATACAAGGGAGCCACCTACTGGGTGACACAGTTGATTGGTTTCTAGTACAGGCTCTAATGCCTGGCACTGAACTGCACTGTGATGTTTGGCAAGTACATGGCGAGGAACTGATGGGCCCGTATGAAGACGACAACTGTGCTGTAGCCCATGTTCTCTGGGTGGAGCAACTGCATCTGTTTTCTTCCTTTTGTTCGGCTTCCCATCACCACTACATACAAGCATCTGACTGGGTACTGCATCTGTTTTCTTCCTTTTGTTCGGCTCCCCATCACCACTTACATACAAGCATCTGACTGGGTAAGTTTTAAAACAGTCCTTTGACTGCCATCAGACATTCTTTCCTTGCACACACATGGCTAAGCCCTTATACGAAACCCTGAACTTATACTAAATGAGCACAGGGGATCTTTCTGTGCTGAAACCTTTCCATGGACTGCAATAAACTTGAGCTTCTCGAGTGCATGGAAGGCCACTGTGGGCAGCCTTCCTTCAAAAATATGTAGACTGCTGGACTAGGCACCAATATAACTGGACAACACACGTGCTTTTTCACTGCAAAGGGTTGCATGGCATATAAAAAAGAAGACCAGTTATCCTCACATTCAGCATTCATATCCTGCCATGTGCTTCTAAGAAAGTGAATTACTTACTGCCTTCCCACGTACAGTGTAAGAGATTCAGTGCCCCCTCAACCCTTTTCCAGTGCTGAAGGTGAAAGAAAGCATAAGCTATCGCTTCGCTGTCGCCTCTCTTCAAAATATGTTCTGGGGGCAATATTAAGCTTTTCATTTCTAGGAGGTACTGAAACAAACACAGAACAAAATCATTTAAGGGGCAAGAAGGAACCGAGCCTTCTCCTCTAGGGGAGCAGAACATGCTTGCTTCTCCAGTAATGTACATGGTTCACTTTATAAGTGTTTTGATAAAAAGCTACGGACGTACCCCAAGTACTAAAATATGCCAGACAATTGCTGTTCTTTGGGGGGACAAGAGATCTATGTGACATTAACTATTTCTTATTAAAGAAAGGGCATTTTAAATTAAAACACCTTAATTATGGAAAACTGTATCCAGAGTGACTATATCAATGTCTTTTTGTTACCAGGGGAAGAAGAGGCTTTTATTCTCTCACACTTAGAGTCTCTGTGTATGTGTGTGTATAGCTGTTTTATTATTGAGTGATACTTTTAAGGCACTTTTCCATTTTATTATTTTAACCTTATTTTTGTGAACTGTATAGAGAACTTGGGATACTGGGCAATCTGGTAATGTAAAGCTGGCTGGATAGCTCTGTGAAGCCTGAAATTGGGAATTTGATTCCCCACTGTGCCTCCTGCAAGAAGAAACAGCCTGTGGATGACCCCAGAAGAAGGGAACAGTAAACTACTTCTGAGTATTCTCTACCGGGAAAACCCCAAAAAAGGGTCACCATAAGTCAGAATTGACTTA